TGGATCTGACTCAAGGGCAGTGCATTGTTGCATCTTATATATATATATATATATATATATATATATATAATTCCCTGCTGCCGATCCCAACTCATAGCGACCCCTCCTTTGGTTTCCAAGGCAGTATCTCTATGGAAGTAGATTGCCCAGTCTTCCTCCCGAGGAGTGGCTGGTGGGTTTGAACCACCAGCCTTCTGGTTAGCAATCAAATGCCTTAGGCACTATGCCACCAGAGCTCTCATATATATGTGTGTGTGTGTGTGTGTATGATGTTCAAGGAGCTCTGATGGTATAGTGGGAAAGGCATTGTTTGCTAACCAGAAGGTCAGTGGTTCAAACCCACCACCTGCTCCACGGGGTGTGTGTGTGTGTGTGGAGAAGATGAGGCAATCTACTTCCATAAAGATTTACAGCCTTGGAAATCCAATGGGGGTTGCTATCAGTCAGATCTGACTCGACAGCAGTGGGTTTGGTATTTTTGGTTTGGTATGTGGAGTTCTGGTGGTGCATTGGATAAGGCATTTGACTACTAACCGTAAGGTTGGTAGTTTAAACCTACCAGCTGTTCTGTGGGAGGAAGATGAGGCAATCTACTTCTGTAAAGATTTACAGCCTTGGAAACCCAGCAGGGGTTGCTGTGAGTCAGAATTGACTCAATGGCAGTGGGTTTGTTTTTTGGTTTTGGTATATATGTGTGTGTGTGTATATATATATATGTATATATAATTATTATTAAGCAAACTGAGCCTCTAAAAATGACATTGTTTATGTAGCTACTAAGTCACAAAGCCAGAATTCAAACCCATACTCTTTCCACTACTCTTCTCCCTATGCCAAGCGGAAAGTGAACAGAGGAAGAAAGGGACTGAGTCTGATAGATTTGGAAGGGCAGGTTCCTCTGGGGACCACGCCTCTTCCCATGGGCCCCTCCTGCTTCTGTTGGCTCATCTTGCCCTTTTCCCCATTCAGGATCCTCCAAGCAGGCCTGGAAGTGGAACGTCTCTCCCTCAGAAATTTCTTCCATCATTTCCATTCAAAGCGAGGCATGTGGAACCGCCGCCAAATGAGGACACCATAATCCCAAGGGGTGGCCCGCTGGACCGACCACTTCCTGCTCCTTGACTTGCAGTTGCTCCCCCAGGGCCTCTGCTCCCTATTGGAGGAGGGAAGAGGAAGGGGCAGAAGCAAAGGCTGGGCTCTGTGGGGCCTCAGCTAAAACCCCCTTCCACCAGGGCTGTCCCTCACTCAGAGAGAGGTACCAAGGTTCCTCTCTCCATCCTGGGCCCTCCAGAAGTGAGGACTTTGGGAGACAGGCCAGGAGGGGCTGCTCACAGTCGACAGAGATGGAACAGCTCCTGAGAAGGATGAGCAATTAGGTCAAGGAAGGAAAGACCTCTTGAGAAATACCATCTTTATCCATGAGGGTGCATTGCAGCACCCACCCAGAGCTCCTCGCAGCGAGTATGGACCATGAACTGGAAACTTTTTTTGGACATATTTTATTGGGGTTTTTATTTTTTTAACAGAAAACCAAAACTGTAGCTGTCCAGTCCCTTGCAGACCCAGTGTTGACTGTGAGAGGGGGATGAAGTTATACATCTAGGGAAAGTTCCCACTTGGATACCTCAGACCCACTCCTGTGTAGCATCAAGCCCCTTTGGTCCTGACATTAGCAGCTTATTTGTAACCAGAGGGGCTGGCCTCATGGGGAAGCAGTTCTCAGCTCTGCCCCATGCTTGTGCCTTCCAGAGACACACACACCTCTCCCAGGTAGCCACTGAAAAGTGGTTATTAATTAGGGCATTAACCTTATCCTCCAGGTAGAGCTAACTTCAGGCTAACTAGAATCGCAGAACTGACATCATGTTGCTAGTGCAACAGGGGAGTTGGGAGATGGGGAATTGGTGGCCAGTGGGATCTTCATCCACCAGCGTTCGGTATACAGGCCATGCGGAATGGGCAAGGTGAAGAAAGCAAAGAAGTGAAGCTCCTCTCCCTCCCCAGCTTGCCTGTAAGGTTCAGCCTTGGGAGAGAATACAAAGAAGGGAGGAGAGCAGATGTGGGAATGGGAATGATCCATCCAGTGACTTCCCTTAGAGGAGAAGAGAGGGTGGGGGCAGGCAGGAAGGATGGGAAGGAATGTGAAAAACTTGTAGAGTCACCACAGTGCAACACCCCCATGGACTCGTCCTCCGGCAGGGGAAACCCCAACTATGTAGGAGGGCTGGTGTTGAGAGGAACATGCTGGACCTGTGCCTTGGGGGGCAGAAGAGGAGGCATTTGGGTGAAATCCTGAACCTTGAAAAAGGGAGGATGGTAGGAAGGGGGCAGGATGATAGGTTTGGGAAGGTTTAGGCATCTTCCCTAAGTGAAAGGGAGCAGGGGGCAAGAGGAATTGAAAAGTGAAGGAGTTTCAGGAAAAAGAGCCCTTGACCTTTATAGTCTACTGCCACCCTTTCCACCCCCACCCCACCCCCACTATCACGCACTTATCTTGCATCTTGCACTAACAATCTCCAGGTGCCTTTGTGGTTGGGGATTTTTCTACTGCTGCTGCTGCTGCTGCCTCTACTGCTGCTGAATTCACCAATGGTGCATTGGATGCTGGATCTTGAAGTCCAGTGTCTGTTTAGGGAGGTGAGCACAGGGCCTCTCTGCTCTGGGGAAGGATTGTGAGGTTCAGCAGGGCCCAGGAGGCCAATAAGCTGACAGCTCAAGCTCCATGCTGTGACAGAGCCCAAATCACAGGATTTGGAGTCACATGGTCTACCTAGTGGGCTCCTCACTCATCAAGAGCATAAGCTTGGCATAAGGGAGAATGGAGCCTGTTGAGAACCTTCTGGGGGTATGGGGAGAATCCTTGCCTCCCCCTAAGGAACCAGAAAGGACAAAGTCTTTTCAATTAATAGGTTGTGGCTTATGGATAACATATATGCTCTCTAGGCCCTAACTTTTCATGGTCCCTACTCAGGCCTGCTACCTTCTGGAAAGGGCTCATAGGGAGTAGGCAAGGGCTGCAGTTGGCCAGATGGAGCCCAGGTTTCCTTCTGGAGCCATTCACTCTCATTCTTGGCCATTGCACTGGCAAGCCTGCAACAGCCCAAACAGCCCTCCTGCTTCACTTCTGAAGAGCCAGCCCAGCCTTCCCCCCCATCCTGCCCCCCAGCCCTCTGTCCCTGGGCTAGTGCCTTGTGTTTGATGTTTGTTACCTCTATACCGTCTGCCTTAAGGGGAAGGGCCTGGCATGCCCCCTACTCTGTAGGGAAATGTCTTGGGTTGGGGGAGGGAACAGGATGGTGGGGGGGAAGAGTTAAATACAGCATCTTCTTAGAAAACAATTGTTTTCCTGTTGTCTTTCTATGGTGGGAGAGAAATGGGCTGAGGGGCACAGCAATCTCTGTCCCTCTGCTACCAGGCAAATGATGGACCTGCTGGGTCCCTTGTCATGCCACCCTCCACTCTTTCCTAGTATTAGTTTGGTGTCTTCCTGTGTGGAGGACAGCCTTCTATGAGTTATGGGTTATTCAGGAAGGGGATGGCATTGTCTGAGGACCTCACAGTCAAAAATAGTAGAGCAGGCATTTTCTGTCTTCGTGGATTAGTGGAATTGGTGGTTTCAGCTGAGAAAGAATTTTGGCTACCCTGGGTGAAGGCTAGATATAGAGTTAGAATGGTGAGCAGTGGAAAGGAGCCAAGGTGTGGCTTATTCTGAAACAGCAGACAATGAAAGCAATTTCTGTTTGAGCTGGGGCTGCCCTGTGATGTTTCACAGGTGCAAATGTACCTTCCTAGTTATACTTAGCCTAGGCAGAGATCAAATTAGTTTGTATTCTTTAAACACATGTTTGAGAGAGAGTGTAAATGTGAAAGCTAGAGTAGTTTTAGAGTAGATTCTCAAAAAGATTGTGTGTACATGCATCAACACATCAACCCAGAATTGACTAATCTGAAATTGATCTAGCAGATGATAATTAGCCAGGTAAGTTGAATCAGAGCAGGGCTCACTGAAAGAATAATTTTAAAGCCTGGAGTTTGCTCTGTTGAGCCCTTTCTAAGACACAGCACTAACCCAGATGATTGGGTCTTCACCACTGAAGACATACAGATTGATTCACAGTGGATTTGCAGAAAACTTTATAGATAGAAATCATTCCATTTTACAGAAAGGGAAACAGACTCAAAGCAGAGGGAAGGAATGAGGTGGGATCAGAACCAGAATTCTTAGGCTGGGAAGACTCAGTCCTTCTCACATGCCTTAGGTTCAGGAGATACTACCAGGGAGGAAAGGTGCCCCAGTCTGAGCTCAGGACCAAGATGGTATTCACTTAGAACAGCAAAATATCACTTCTTAATTCAGGTGCTTGTGGGAAGGGAGCAAGGGTATCTACATTGTCCTTTTAGAAGCTCTCCAGAGGCTGTGGAAAGTGCCCAACAGCTTGGGATATCAGAGAGGAAGGAGGCAGAAACAGTTCCAGACCCAGTACCTGTAGGGGAAGCAAAGAAGAGTCAATGAGAGGGCAGGCCATACCCTAGTGCTCCTCAAACTTTAATGTGCACATGATTCACTTGGCCATCTTGTGAAAATGCAGATTTGATTCAGCAGGTCTGGAGTGGGGCCTAAGATAACCTCCATATGGTGTGGTCCGTGGACCACAATTTGAGTAGCAAGGATGCTAGACAGTGCCAAGGAGGAACTCCACATTTCCATCTATTCTCTTGCCAGAGGGGCATAGCCAACCACCCTACCCAAGGAAAGAATAAAAATCTAGCAACTAAAGGAGAGCCAATGATTTCCAGAGCATGAGGGCAGGCTTTTTTGAGTCTCAGTGCAAGTCCTTCTCCAAGATCCTCTCCTTGTCTTCTGTATCCATAGCCTTCTCCTTTTGCTTGACAAAGAGTCTCTCTCAACCCAACCTCTCTGAGGTGAGAGAGGGACCACCTGGGGAGTCCTTGGACCTAGACCTCCCATCTTTCTCCCTTACCTGGGCCTCAGGCTCTGTTCAGAGAGGATTTCTTGAGGTCCTGGTAGCCAGGAACCCTGTCTTATGTGCCCCAAAGGCTGTAATGAAGACATTAATGACAACCGTGATGAAGACCAAGGTGGTGGCAGCATTGTTGAGCTGGTTTAAACGCCACTGCTTTTCCACCTCATTCAGGTTCAGCCGTGCTGTGGAGAAGTGGAAGATAAGGGTCGAGGTGGGGACTTCAGCCTGGAGCTTCCCTCACAACATCCACTGGATCCTGGAGAAAGTGTGCCTTTTGCTCTCACTGAGCATCCGCATGGTGCTTACTAGGATTGGGATTTGGGAACTTACACTGGGTCTTCTAACAGTGGGAATAAATACAAAATTGCCTATGTGGTTGGGCAATCCTACTTCCGTAGTGATACTGCCTCGGAAACCCAAGGAGGGGTCGCTATGAGTCGGGGCCAACTCGACAGCACATAACAACAACAACAATGAGGAACTCTGGCACAAGTCAGTGAGGGCAGTCATTCACCAGGTATTTGTGGAGTGTCCATTATATGGGGTGCCAGGAGATAGGACAGCACGCCTGCCCTCACTGTATAGGAGTCGTCTTTTGGGCATTTGTAGATGTAGAGGGCTAACACAAGGTTGTTGATGGTTGCCATCAAGTCAATTCTGAGTCATGGCAATCTTTGCAGAATAGAACTCCACAGGGTTTTCAAGGCTGCGACCTTTTGGATGATTACTAGGCCTGTCTTCCAAGGCACTTCTGGATGAGTTCAAACTATCAACCTTTTGGCTAATAATTAGTTGTGCCACCCAGGGACTACTAACGAGATTAATTTATGGTTAAGTTGGCATGCATATAGGGAGGTGCTTGAGGCTTCTTTTTCTACCAGGGGGCACTGAAGCTGAAAGCCTGACTCCCAAGCCTGGGCTCCTCACCAGTGACCACAAGGAGAATCCCGATGACCACCTGCAGAAGCAGTGAGATGCTGATGAGGGTGACGAGGGTGGCATAGTAATGAGAGGATGGTCCCTGCTCCAGCACCGCTTTCAGCCGCATGGCATTGGACATAAAGAGGGCCACGTCTAGCATGCTCTCTGCCACACTCTTCTTGGTGGCATAATGGTTCAGGTTGATGAGCTGGTTCCTCCTGGGGTTGGAGTTCCCCCCCTGTAAGAGAGAAAGCACAAGCTTACCTGGAAGGCTTCAGAAGGGAAACAGTTGAAAGAATAGAGCAAAGGGCTTTTAAATTGTAATTCCCCCCAAACCAGGTGGGACACCTAAGGTAAGTAACTCCCTTCTCAGTTTTATGGCCTGAAGAAAAAGGGTTGGGCTAGGAAATCTTTAAGGACCTCTGAGCTCTGAGATGATGTTATGTTGTAATTTATATTTCATGGAGGGTTATCACTCCCCTCACCTTCACACATCCATCTCAAGAAAGGAGGAAGGGTCCTTGGCTGCTTGAAAATGCACCTTCAGCATTTTATTCACTATTGTACCTAAGCCAGGCAGCAGCGTGGGGTCTCTCTCTTTTCCTCCAGGAGGAAAGCATCTGAGAACTCAATAGGAGGAGCTCTGAGGCATAGGTGAAACAGGAAAAGGTACATCTTTTCCCAGAATAACAAGCCCCCAAAGCAGGATGCAGTTTAGCAAATGGAGCTTTTTGATCCCACTCACCCTCTCAGGCCCAGCTCAGGTGCACTCAGGCCGTTACACCCACAAATGCTCTGTCAGATGCATGTCAATATACACACAGTGATGCATACTAGACAAACGCCTTGATTTTTCTTTTTTTTTTTTTTTGGCTAGAATTTATCAGAGCAAATCCTTTTTTCCATATAGCAGTTCATACACATTTTGTTTCATGACATTGACTGCGGTCTCCACAATGTAACAGCTCTCTTCCTACTTCCTCCCTGTAGTTACCTCTTCCTTCCCTCTCACACACTCCTACCCCCTGAGCTATCTCCCTGTGTAAACCCTGCCCTTCTGTTCTCCCATGATTGATCGCTCCAAGGAGTGTATCTACCTGATGTAAATATTCACCCTGTGTGCCTGTCTATTGTTTGGCCGGAAGCCACAGAAGTGAGTTCAGTTACAGAGCTGAAGGGTGGCTAGGCCACAGTCTCAGGGGTTTCACCAGGCTCTATCAGACCAGCAAACTTGGTCTCCTTTTGGTTTGATTTTAAAGCATAAAATGAAGCTCCTATTCTCAAAAAGGTAGTCTCACAATATAGGGTATACAGTATTAGCTTCTGGATTAGGCCAAGAAATCAGACCATATACTGCAAGAAATCTGCAGTCACTCAACATTACTTGGAGAAGTTTTAGGGAGATTAATTTAACAGTGGTGCTTGGGGTGGTTTGACCCACGAGGGATCATAACAAAGAGACCCATTCAAAGGTTATTGCCTTGATTTAGGGTCAAGGTGACAAAGAACTAAACCAGAGTGGTGGTGAGAAAGGAGAAGCAGCTAACCCAGCAGATACCACAACAGAATAAACATCCATTTGTTGGATGGATGTAATGGGTGGATGGGTGAGACAGGTCTCAGAGGATTCTGGATATGCTCTGCTCTGTGATCTTAGCAAGTCATTTCACTTCCCTGTACCTCAGGTAAAAACACAGACCCCCAAGACCAATTGGGAGAAGAGAGAAGCCTATGTCATCAAGACCTTTGGACTCTAAGGGCCCTTAAAACCAAAAACTCACTGCCATCACGTGGATTCCAGCTCACAGCAACCCCCATTGGGTTTCCAAGGCTGCAAATATTTATAGAAGTAGATTGCGTCATCATCTTCCTGCAGAGCAGCTGGTGGGTTTGAACCACTGACCCTCTAGTTAGCAGCCAAATGCCTTACCCAGATGCTACCAGAGCTCCTTTCAAGAGCCTTTAAGAGGTCCTCAAATGTAGTGGCTCCCAAACTTTTTGATAGTGTACTAAAAATGTTTTTGACTATGCAGGCCTAGTACATATTCATTGTTTAATTATAAATTATATATATTCAGTAGACTAATATATATATCAGGAGCTCTGGTAGCATAGTGCCTAAGGCACTTGACTGTAAACCAAAAGGCTGGCGGTTCAAACCCACCAGCCACTTCTCAGAAGGAAGGTTGGGCAATCTACTTCCATAGTGATACTGTGTCGGAAACCCAAGTGTCTCTATGAGTTGGGTCTGACTCAATGGCACCTAACAACAACAAATATATATATTATAAAATATATCTAAAAATAGAAAATTTTAAATCATTACATAAATATAGAAAAATTTAAATGATTATATAAACACAGAAATAGAAGTTTAATATTTTCTTATCTCCTCCCAAAGGATGGTCTTGAGGACCTCTCTTTAGAGATGCTCCCTATAATCCATATGTCAAACCTCTCCTGGGCCAACAGAATGCGGAATCTGTCCCTCTGTACTCCTAAAGTTTGCCTTCAAAGGTCAACTCAAAATCTCCATCATCTTCTAAATCCTCTGGTAGGGTCTCCTCTTCTGTCCCCTTGCTCTCTGCCAGCTCCATCCATAGTCAAGGCAGGGGCTGGGCTGGCAGGGACAGGATCAACCCTGGCAATGAGTGTCTCTTGGGCTCCCTGTATCTCCAAGGACCATTACCAGAGGATCCAGTGCAAAGAAGAGCTTGTTCTGGTTACCTACTGCCACTCTGAAGGAATATACCATAAATGGGATGGCTTAAACAAAGAGTTTATTCTCTTACAGTTCGGAAGAATTTAAGCCCAAGTTCAAAGTGCCAGGCTCTAGGGGCTGGGTGAAAGCCTCTCGACCTTGGCTTCAGCTCTGCCTCTTGCTCCTGGCCCACTGGACCTAAAGGCATCTCCACTCAGGCAGCTACTGGCTGCTGAGGCTAACAAGCCCAAGGCTGACAAATAAAATGGCACAGTCCTGATGTTACCAAACCACATGGCAGGCCATTAAGTTCATTGAAAGTCCCAAGGTCAGCAGAGCATGGCAGGCTGCTGAACAATGACATGGCAACATGCAGGGTTCAAGCGTACCATAAGCTAGAGACCGTTCCCAAGGCTGCTACTTATATACGGGAAGCAGACTACATACCCACACCCATATCCCATACCCATACTCAGCTGCTCACAGTAGATTCCACCATGGAGTTGATCACCAGTCTCATCATGGGGAATACTACATTCAGCTGCTCAGCCACTCAACCAGGCCCAGCCAAGTTGACACACAACTGTAACCACCATAGAGCTCTTTCACTTTGCCCCTGGGAAACATCTTCCTGAGACATACTTTCCTCCGGGCTGTTAGCCTTCTATGCATGGCAGTTCCCTGTGTCTGGATTTCTCATTATCCAAATGTTATCTGTACACAACTTCAGGGCAGACTGGGACTCACAGAAGGCAACCAGGAGTATGCACCTTGGCCAATTTGTATACTTTCCTAGGGAAGTGAACAGCAGAGGCCAGTGTTAGGAGCTGTGAGTGCCCCCAAGGCCAGATAAAGGATAGTTGCTGCCCTGCTTTCAGGTACCTAAACCAAACCAAACTCACTGCCATTGGGTCACTCATAGCGACCCTTTAGGATAGTAGAACAGCTCTATAGTGTTTCCAAGGCTATAAATCTTTACGGAAGCAGACTGTCTCATCTTTCTGCTGAGGAGAGGGCTGGTGGGTTCAAGCTGCCGATATTTTGGTTAGTGAGTTGCTGATCTTTTGGTTAGCAGCCAAGTGCTTTAACTACTACATTACCAGATCTCCTTCCCAGGTCCCTGGTAAGCACTTATCCACTGGGCTGCTGGCTGCTTTTACCAGATCCTGGCTTCAAGTTATTTTTCACAGCCACCAAAATCAGATTGGGGCCCAGAGTCCAGAGAAATATAGCTGTATCTCTCAAACTGGGCTGTTGACACAAAAGGAATGTTTCCTGCCTCTCCCTGTGTTCCTTCCTTTTGATTTTTTTCTGGGTCCTGGGTTCCAGCCTATGCTGGGCTGACCTGTGAGACTGGAGGAGATGGGGACAGACTAGAGTGAGGGCCTGTGTGCATGTGGGTGGTCTGCACTCAGAGTTCAGAGCCCAATGCTTTGGAAATGTGGTCTGAATGAGGCTGGGCTTGTCTGTGTCCTGGTAGATTAGGGTCAAGAATCCCAAGACCAAAGATTACATGGTCATTGCTCACCACAAGGCCACAACCTGCAGTCCCAACCCAATTGGTACAGGTCTGTCCTAGGTCATAAAGGCCACTCAGGTAAGAGAGTGGATGACTTAGTCCCAGCCTTCCCCACAACTCCAAAGAATTCCTATCCCAAGGACCAGGCCAGGTACAACTGTGAGCTAGAGCTTTCCTGCCCCCTGACTCCCTCCCCTTGGCAGTGCCCTCTCTGGCTCTACCCCACCCTCCAGTATGCCTGGTAACCTCAAGGCTACAAGCTTTACACTGTCTTCTTCTAAATACAAATTTCAGCTCAAGATCTGATGAGTCTATCTATGGCAAAAGTTCCAAGGGAGAACCCCGTTCCCTGAAAATTTACATTGTAACAGTGGACAAAACCTTAAGCCCAAATGTCTAATGGTATGTTTTGAGCACTGACCAAATAGTGTGGGAGGGATGGGGTGTATGTATACTTGGGGAACACAGAGATCTTCCAAACTCTAGATGAAAAATATTGCGCTGTGTAAGTTTGAACACACTGGTAGGCTTCTGCTGTTAAATCAATCTAATAGAGCCATTGTTTTACTTAATCTAAACTCACTGCCACTGAGTTGGTTCTGACTCACAGCAACCCTCACTGGGTTTCCGAGGTGGTAAATTTTTACAGAAGTTGATTGTCTAATCTTCCTTCCACAGAGTGGCTGGTGGCTTTGAACCACCAACCTTCTGGTTAGCTGTCAAATGCCTTAGGCACTGTGCCACGAGAGCTCCTTATTGTTTCACTGAGGGTGTAGAATTCACAGTGGGTATAGGAGGGTTCAGGCCTTATACTTTCTTCTCTAAATGTACAGCCTGATTTAATTTGTTCAGGACAGCTTTATGACAGGATACTTTCTTCAGGGTCCGGATATAGGGTCGTTATGAGTTAGAATCCACCTGATGGTAATGGGTATGGTATCGGGTGGTGGAGGACATCTCTGCACCTTCTAATCTCCTGAAGGAACCAGTTCTCCAGAGTGGCCACATGGTGGCATGC